GGAGTCAGGGAGGGTCACCCTGGCAGTGCACACAAGGCTGGGTGGGTACTCCGCTACACGTGTTTGGGTGTGTGCAGGCCCAGACCCCGCCCCCCAGGCATCATGGCTATGACGGTGAGGACACAGAGGTACTCACCTGCACATATAAGGCATGGGCCAGAAAGGGGAGCTTTCGGAGGACTCGGCCACTGAGGCCCTCACTCTTCCTGTTTGGGGACAACTATGGTCAGGGCATGGAGCACGGGCGTCCCCCCCACAGAGCCTTCCTCTGGTCTCCCAGGTCTCCCGCGCAGTTTCTGCCCAGTGCAAGGTGGGATGTGGCGACTCCCTGACGGTGCCAAGCCCTGAAGAGGAGGCACTGAGCAGTCAATCCTGAATGGGGCCCAGTGGCTAGACGGGTTGGCACATGGAACAGACTTGGTAGGCCGAAGCCTGTGCCCTGGAGATATGGCCCTTAACCTCGGGGCATCCTCAGTGTCTTCCCTCTCAAAGGCCTGCCTGGAGCTCCCCAATGGCGTCCATGGCTACCAAGTGCATGAGGGGCCCGGGCTCAGCAGAAGCCTGCAGCACTGACTGAACGCACAAGTGAGCCAGCGGAGAGCCAGCCAGCAGACAGCCTCCAAGAGCCTCAGCTGCCGGCCCACTCGGCCCCCCAAGCCTCCCAAGGCGAGTTTTCCTGAGTGAGAAGCAGAGCAGGCGCACCTGGAGATCTCACTGAGCAGGAGGCTGAGCCTGGACACGTTGTTCTCGATGAAGCCGATCATTTCCAGCTCCCGTAGCGTCAGCAACTGCTGCCGAGGGTAGATGATCTGACACTAGGGAGACACAGGGTCACGGGGTGCCCGGGGGGGGTGTGTGTGTGTGTGTGTGTAACAGACACACATGGTCATGGGGACACAGGGGAGGGGAGGAACGACACAGACACAACTGCTGCCACCGAGGGTAGATGATGCGACACTGGAGACACGGGGACACATGGGAGGGGGACGGAGGCAGACAGACATAGTCACAGGGACACCCAGAGGGGTAGATGATGTGACACTGGAGACACGGGGACACGTGGGAGGGGGACGGAGGCAGACAGACATAGTCACAGGGACACCCAGAGGGGTAGATGATGCGACACTGGAGA